GTGTGTGTGTGTGTGTGTGTGTGTGTGTACATGTGTGTGTGTGTGTGTGTGTGTGTGTGTGTGTGTGTGTGTGTGTGGAGAGAGAGAGAGAGGGAGAGAGAGCAGCGCAGCAGTCAGCTCTCCTCACCCGAGGCTGAAGGTCAACAGACGATCATGCTAAGCTTGCTAACAGCTCCACCCTCTGACTGCTGCAGGGGCGTGTCTTAGAGAGAGGTTTATATTCAAGAACACAGCCGCTGTGACGAAACTGTGGAGAAGACACGTCACCGTGGAGAGCCGTTAACCAATATGCAAATTAGCCTGCAGTACCACTGCTCTACCCATATGAGCAGCAAAAAGACGTTTTTAGACCAAATATTACAGATTTGAACAAATACGCACAAAAACATCAAAATTAGCACAGAAACAGCACTATACAACATTTTTAGACACATTCTAGACAATTTATCTGCTAAAAAAAGTTGATTTTGGGGTAAGTTACTCTTTAATACCCTAAAACAAGCAACATCTTATCTGACAAGACACCTGCTGTAGATGCAGACAGTTCTAAAACAGATCGTTGCTTTCTACAAATCTGCATTTTATGTCTACACTTTTTCTGCTTTTCAATTTTTCCATTTAAATTGCATCAACACAAATCCCCATCTGAAAGCATGATCTCTCGCATGAGGAACAAATTATTTTCCAGCATTACAGAAGCACAGGACATTAAACCCACCGCCGTGGCGAGCAGGAAGTGGTAGGGGAGGAACTGCATTCGGAGGACGTCGTTGAACTGGCGAATGCAGTGCAGCTCGATCCCATTGGAGTCGTAAATATACAGCCACTTCTTCTGAGCCACAGCAAACATGTTCTCACTGTGGAGCCACCTTAAAATACAGGAAAATGTACTTCAGTCTTCAGAAAATAAAGGTCAAATGGACACATTAATTTGTCACAAACGTGTTGTCATTGTTTTGTCTGGGAGCCGTAGCAAAGCGTGACAGATTAAAACTTACTTTACATCTTTGACAGACTCCATGACGTTAATTTCACACATGAGCTGTTTGGTCTGCCAGTCGACACAAGCTACGTGACCTCTGCTTCCACCGAGCAGCAGGTGACTGAAGTAGACGAAACATTAGGTCAATACACACAGACACGCACACCTCAAATAGACTTTAATGGATTAATAATGGATCCAGATAACCTCTAATTACATGTAATCTGTGACTTTATGAACTGAGGTTTGGTTTTAAAATCCTCTAAAAACTACTTTTAACATTAATTTCATAATCTAAAAAATCTACCAGCTTGTGCCTTAAATCATTTCTGCATCACTCCAGAATTTAAAACTAAAAATAACACTTGTTCCACCAGGTCATAATGAGTTAAAAAGAGGTTAGTGACAATAAACAAGACAGAGGGTTATTTACATTAACACTGGCTCAGTTCCATCCCACTCACAATGTACTTTAACTAAAAACCTGTGTAAATTTTAGTGCAATCAATACAACAAATACAACTAATAAAATGTGGCTGAATGCAAAACAACTCGTTATCACGTTTAACTGGTCCTACTTCTTTTAAAAAGGGCAGGACTTTAATAATAAAAATAAAAGATAAACATGTTCCGTGTGTATTTGTTATAGACTCACTCATATTTGTGTCAGTCCTCTTCATTGCTAGTAAATTATACACAACCAGATCCATAAATAATTTAATGTATTTTTCCTTTTTATTAAATCAATTTTTTGAATAATTAACTGTTCTAAGAAACAAAAAGCTTCACATTACTGGACAAAGTTGTTTATTTATCGTTATTTCAATTATATCTCATCTAACTCAACCTTTGAGACAGCACTGGATGCTAGGGCTGTGTATTGGCAAGAATTTGGCGATACGATACATATCACGACAGACGGGTCACGATACAATATATCCCGATTTATTGCGATACTGTAAGCAAGGTGATACAGTGGTTTGCAAAAGTATTCATACCCCTTGAACTTTTCCATATTTTGTCACATTACAACCACAAACATAAATATATTTCACTGGAATTTAATGTGAAAGACCAACACAAAGTGGTATACAATTGTGAAGTGGAAGCAAAATTTTACATGAATCAAAACATTTTTTACAAATAAAAAACTGAAAAGTGCGACGTGCAAAAGTATTCAGCCCCCTTTTCCCTGAGTGCAACCAATTGCATTCAGAAGTTGCCTGATGACTGCTAATGACTCAAAAGGGTCCACCTGTGTGTAATCTAATCTCAGTACAAATACAGCTGCTCCGTGACGGCCTCAGATGTAGGTTAAGAGAATATTGGGGAGCAAACAGCATCATGAAGTCCAAAGAACACACCAGACAGGTTAGGAATATGGTTTTGGAGAAGTTTAAAGCAGGCTTAGGTTATAAAAAGATTTCCCAAGCTTTGAACATCTCACGGAGCACTGTTCAATCCATCATCCGGAAATGGAAAGAGTATGGCACCACAGTAAACCTGCCAAGACAAGGCCGTCCACCTAAACTTACAGGCCGAACAAGGAGATCACTGATCAGAGAGGCAGCCAAGAGGCCCATGGTGACTCTGGATGAAATGCAGAGAGCCACAGCTCAGGTGAGGGAAACTGTCCACAGGACAACAATTAGTCGTGCACTACACAAATGTGGTCTTTATGGAAGAGTGGCAAGGAGAAAGCCATTGTTAAAAGAAAACCATAAGAAGTCCCGTTTGCAGTTTGCCAGAAGCCATGTTGAGGACACAGCAAACATGTGGAAGAAGGTGCTTTGGTCAGACGAGACCAAAATTGAACTTTTTGGCCACAATGCAAAACGCTATGTGTGGCGGAGAAAGAACACTGCACATCACTCTGAAAACACTATCCCCACTGTCAAATATGGTGGTGGCAGCATCATGCTCTGGGGGTGCTTCTCTTCAGCAGGGACCGGGAAGTTGGTCAAAGTTGATGGGAAGATGGATGGAGCCAAATACAGGGCAATCTTGGAAGAAAACCTGTTGGAGTCAGCAAAAGATTTGAGACTGGGGCGGAGGTTCACCTTCCAGCAGGACAACGACCCTAAACATAAAGCCAAAGCTACAATGGAGTGGTTTAAAAAAAAGAATATTCATGTGTTAGAATGGCCCAGTCAAAGTCCAGACCTAAACCCAATTGAGAATTTGTGGCAAGATCTCAAAACTGCTGTTCACAAACGCTCTCCATCCAATCTGACTGAGCTTGAGCTGTTTTGCAAGGAGGAATGGGCAAGAATTGCAGTCACTAGATGTGCAAAGCTGGTGGAGACATACCCTAAAAGACTTGCAGCTGTAATTGCAGCAAAAGGTGGCTCCACAAAGTATTGACTCAGGGGGGGCTGAATAATTTTGCACATCGCACTTTTCAGTTTTTTATTTGTAAAAAATGTTTTGATTCATGTAAAATTTTGCTTCCACTTCACAATTGTATACCACTTTGTGTTGGTCTTTCACATTAAATTCCAGTGAAATATATTTATGTTTGTGGTTGTAATGTGACAAAATATGGAAAAGTTCAAGGGGTATGAATACTTTTGCAAACCACTGTATATTGCGATTTTTTTTGGTCCTAAAATTCTATTAAATAAAAACCTCTTATTGGAAAAAAAATGAAAAACCAAAATTCATTGTCTCAGAAAATTCTATTACATAGACATGCGCTAGCCTTCTGTAACGTGAAAGCTGACTAAAGTTGGAAAAAAGAGCGCACGAAACACTTAATTTGGTTTAAAATAGAGACATTCTGACAAAAAAGTAACTGTTTATAACCTTACCTCAGCTTAGAAGGCAGAGGGTGTCGGTCTTTTCTGCTCAGATTCAGCTATCGGAGCATGAAGCTAATGTTTACTTACAATGCTAATGCTCCCCTTACTCTCTGGTGCTCAAGAGGTAGAGGAGCCAAATGGCTGGCTCACCTGCTGCTTGCTAGTAGTCAGAGGCTGAACTACAACATAAAAATGAATGGCTGGCAGGAAAGTTGACATTTTAAACCTTAATTAAATATCGATACAGGACTTTAGAATTTCGATACAGTATCGAATGAAATATCACGATATTTCAGTGTATCGTTATTTTCTTACACCCCTACTGGATGCTGCTTTCCCCACCTTTCAAACATTAAATCTGAATATTTTCTAAATTGCTGTTTTTAATCTCAGACGATGCTTTATTTTGATAATAACTAATAATAATAAGCAGATAATATTAATTTCATAATAAAAAGAATATATTATTTGTTTTTTTTTTATAAATAATTCCCTTCTTATTTATTTCACAAAAAAGAAAACCTGTTTCATAGTTTTGGTACATTTTTTTGGTACATTTGCCTCTGACAGATAAGAAATAGAAAAAGCTTGAGACAAACCTAAATTTGTGCTTTACTAACTGATAAAAATAGATCCTGACAACATTTTAGTGAGAGTTTTCTGCAGCTGCTATCTTATCTCTGAACTCAAACTATTACTGAATATAAAAATGAACCATGTGACTAACAATAACAGTGTGTGAGCCACTGACCGTCCTGTTCTGCTGTAATCCACTCGATATGGTCCAAACTGAGTCAGCTTAAGATTAAAATACTGCAGCAGAAGAATGAAATTAGAAACAATAACCGAGGTGTTCCTGCAGCCAACCATTCATCGGACATATTTACATCTAATAAAATGAACGTTACATTTGTTACACCTCACTAGGCAGGTAAACATAATATGCTGATGGAAACCCAGAAGTTTTCATCTGATACCTTTGTTCCAGCTGTTATATCTACAGCATCTGCAATATCCTCCTGGGATATCATACACGTGTCCTCATCTTCGTCCCCTTCTAAAAATCTGAGAATGAAGACAGACCCATTTTAATCGCCTGATGTTTGCTGCAGCCTTGCTGTGACATGAAGAACAGGCTCGCATCTTTAAAAAGAAATTACCCAGCTTCCTCAGGGAGCAGGAGGTCGAAGCGAGCAGCTTGTTTCTGGGCCATCTCTGAAGCTTCTTCTGAACGAGTGATCATCTCTTTCAGCTTCAGACGCTGTCTGTGAAGCTGGAAGAAACGTTTTAATTTTTTTTTTGCTAGGAGAAAAAAAAAGTTTAGCACATGAAGCTAAAGCACTTTGAACATAACGACGCTTACCTTTTGGGTTTGACCTTTCCTACTGAATTTTTGCAACCTGTTCTTTGAAATGGGAGCAGGCCCAGGGAAAGGATCCGATTTCTAAAAAGGGAATGAGGATTTTTTTTTTTTTTACAACAGAACCACATGCAGGATCAAAGTAGTCAGATTTGGAGCTTTGCAAAAAACACATAATCCAATATATCAGATCTTTTATTAAATAATTTGAGCCATACAAAGTTAAAGATAAAAGTTTCAATACAAAACTGTAAAGATACCTGACTGTAAACATAAAATTAAGCACATACGGTTACTGGTTACTGTTGTCAGTCTTCATGACTCATCCAGAATAAAAAAATCACTTTAAAGAACTTACACAAATTTCAATATGGTCCTTGGGTTATTCCTATTGGTTGCATATTTTGTAGATCCAACTACACCAAGCAGTAGATCTCTGTTTTTAAAGTACTTCCATTTAAAATTGTTTTTTGTTAAGTTTACTGATATGTGTTGATGCTGGTTCATAGCTCTCATGTTTAGGAGCTCTTTAATGCCGAAGTGTGAAAATTTAATTTAAAATTATTTGAAAGGCCTGGAGTAGGGTTGGCCAATATTGGCAGAAAAATGAATTATGATTTGTTGTGGCATAAAGCCAATAATGCTTAATAGATAACAAATGCACTTGTGTGTTTTCAACACTAAATCAAATCCTGTGTTCTAAAATTAGATTTAAAAATTATCAGTTAAACTAACTTCTTCATTTTAAAAGGCTACAATAGTAAGCTGTGAATCGAAACCCACCTTTTCCACAATGTGGAGTGGCAGCATTTCTGTAGTAACGCACTATGCCACAGGCTCACATGCACGACTGATAGTGAGAGTGCATCAGACAAAAATATGTCATCACGTGGCACTAACTGCAGTAATTGCAAAGTGGTAAATGATAATTAATGAAAATTTTTTTATGATTATATGAACACGATATGACTTTCCCCAAACTTACCCATTTCATTTTAAAAACATCCACAAAGAACTAGTAAAAATATATTAAAGAGTGATCAATCAAAGCTGTTGCACAACTAAGCACACAACAAACTCGTCTCACGGTCATCGCAAACGTGGTGGTGCCTGGGTATATTTTACAGTGTGTTGTGTTTCCAGGCACTTCTCCAGTTGTTGCATTTTTTATCTGTCCCCAGAGGTGGTTCACTGGATTTCTTTTTAGTATTTTAGCAAAGATGTCACTCTTTCACCCCATTTTAGAATGGATGGATTCTGTTGTTGTTTTCTTGTAGCTTATGGGTGATAAAAATGTTGCTCTAAGTCAACAAGCTTCAAAAAAACTCTGTCAGGATTACATTACTCAAAAGTAGTAATAAAATATAATATTTTCACCTAAATACTGATTAACTTTCATAACAGTATGATGAAGAGAAAATGTTTTGAGAGCCTGAACATGACAATGCTATGATGGATGCAAAGCAGCAACAGTTTGTTTTTCCCCCTTTTTGATCCTCAGTTACTCAGTATTTTTACTACCTAGTTTTAATTTTGATGTATATTGTGGTCGCATGAGGGCTTAAGATTATGCAGTTTTAGTTATTAAAAAATTAATAAATCAATTAATCTTAAATACAGGTAGTCAATGAAGAGCATGCTATTTCATACTTATCCTGATGATTACATCCAGTATTTTTGGGAGGAGGAACAAGTTTTCTGGATTTTCAATGTTAAACCAGCAGAAAAATTAGAGCAATTTTTCAAGACTAAAATTTTTAAAACTTCATTATTTTATTACCAATCTAGAGAGTGTTGATGTGAATATCAAAAACAATTAATGAACTTTTATTATTATTATTATTATTATTATTATTATTATTATTGTCGATTTCTGATCAATCTTACGCACACGATGAACGCATTCTTTTTTGCTTTCTTACCCCTGATACGACTTTCTTTTCATTCGTGACATCATCGGTTTGCCTCCTTTTCTTTGCTTTCCGTGTATGTTTGTTTTCCTGCTGCACAGCCTCTTCAGTTTCTTCTTCATTTTTGTTGTCATGTTTCTCTTCGTCCTTTTCTTGCTCCTGCCAGTACCGAACTGGAGGCTGAATTAAAAATCAAGTTTAGAAAACGGTCAGCTAAAGCGTTGAAGAAACATAAAAAATAAACTGCGGCTAGTTGTGTTTGACACTGTAAAACAGTTAATAGTTTGTGTTTTGTAATTTCGTTATAAAAGAAGGTTTACCTTTTTCTTTTCCTCCACGTGTGAAACATTCACACTAGGATCTCCGGGAGACGCCATCTTTGTTGTGTATGTTTTACTTTTCATTTCCGGTTGCGTCGCTGCTTTACTTCCGGGTTGTTTTTTTCCTGTAAGTTTTTTGACACCACCGTGCATTACCGCCGCCACCTGGTATAAAATGTGTTTCATCATGATCTAAACTTTGTGTATGAATAATATGGTTCAAATTAGTTGTTTGCTACCTCATCATCATCATTTTATTTATCAAATAAATGGCACTGCATATAGCATACACATATAAATGGATAACACAATAAAGCATAAAGCTTATTTCCATTGTGGTCCAACATATAATCATCACACACAATCGCTTACATAACAAATAACACCAAATTCAATAAAAACATCCAATACAATAATTTATCTTAAAAATAATAAACAAGATCATTAGATTTTTGCCTGACCAACCTTTGGAATAAAAACTGTTTAACTTGACACTTGAACAAGGGCTTACATACAATAATCTGAAAGGAAGATTTGCCATAAGATTTGACAGCTGGGCCTTGAAATGACATTTTACTATAGCTTGTTCTGATTGAGTGACGATTTTGGACCGGTTTAAACTGTTGAGATAAGTAGTTTGGAACTTGTGATACTATGAAGAAGATTATATTTTAAATGATTAACCCGATGGTAGCATTCCAACCTGACTAAACTCCTGTGCTCCAATGTGTTTGCGAGTTCCTACATTTAATAGATTTTGTATTACTTTGTTCTGAGTATGCTGTGGCTTAGTCTTGTAGAGCTCACTTAGTCCAGAACACCAGAATGTGCAAGCATAGTCAAAGTGACCCTGTATTAATGCTGTCACAAGCATTTTTTTGTTTTGTTTTTAGGCTGACATTTCCAGCTTGTCTATATAAAAATGTAAGCCTGGCATTTGCTTAAAAAAACATTTTCTGCTATCTCAGTCCCAAATAAGGCTTGGTAAAGTTTGACACCGAGATAGCTCGCCTCCATTTGACATTGTAATAGATCCCCTTCACATCATACTTGGATACTTTTCTCTTGGCGAAGTTTGTATTTAGAGCCAAAATACACTCCGTCTTCCCCAAGTGCAAGGATAACCTATTATCTGCCACAGAAGAAGTGATGCAGCTGCTCTGGGTGGATTTAACAGGGAGAAAGAGAGAGCGGAGGAGGGTCCTCTCCAGGGGATGTGCATCCCTGCTGAGCTTTCTTGGCCAGCTGTGTTGAGTCTTCTTAAGCTATTCAGAGTGCTTCGTTCTGCAACAAGAAAGATGAAAAAAGTGAAAAAAATTACTGTAAAAAAATCTGAATACTTCTAACTTTCCGTTTGTGACAGCACTGAACAGGTTTGTCATGTTTCAAAAGTGCTTCTAGGAAAAGGAAAGTCTAGTCTCTCCGAGAGAGAGAGAGAGAGAGAGAGAGAGAGAGAGAGAGAGAGAGAGAGAGAGAGAGAG